CACCTCCCTGCAGACCTACACTCGCTTGTTGTGCAGTGTTGCTCCTCAGGTAACAGCCTTCTTTCCAGGCTCTTGTTGCCCAGAGTGTCTTTGATTTGGCAGCAGTGTCGTTTTCCACACGAACGAGTGTTTTTGATCCACTTGAACTCCTTTTATCAACAGTGGAAATTCTCTTGTCTAATTTTAACATTTAACAAATGAAATCTTGTCCTTTTAAGTTAAAATGTTGTTTAAAAAGTTTATTTGGCTCCAGATTTCACCTCCTGTCCATCACTCCTGGATACTTTCTCTCGCTGGTTTACATCTTTGTGGAGGATTCTTAACCCACCAGCATAAGGAGCCTAAAACACCTTATATAGGAAAAGCTACTTGAACCCCAAAGAAGTCACCTGACCCCTGACCCCACTGAAAATTTATGGGTGCCCGAGCAAACTGATGAAGCTAAACATGTGTTATATGACAACAAGCTCTTTGGAAACGCGTTACATTAGGTCACCTAAAGAAATGATTGATAGGAGACTCGGTCAGTAGGTAACATTATCAGTTTGCTTTCAGGACATATAGATAAAAACAAGACATCATTTAGTAAAAGAAAAATATATATTTATTATAATTTTATACAACTGTCAAGATCTTCACATTTCTTACTATAATAAAGTAGAATAGAATCATCTCAGAGATGCACACATGAAGAAAAACAAAGGCATGATCTGCAGTTTGTAACAAACATATTCCAGAAAATAAACTTGAATAAAGCTCTACGATGAAGTGCTGCTGCAAAGGCCAAAAGATCCACGCTAAGCCTCCCCACGCACCGATTTCTTCCACGTGTTGCTGCGCTTGCATAAAGTGGGATACACACAGTCTGCACTGAAAACTGCACATCTGACACAACAAGTGCATTTTCAAACCATTAGAAACATCTGTGACGTGTCTGCGTCAGCTTTAGCCCAAATAACACCGTTAAAATAAAAATTCATCAAGCTGGCCGAGGAGCAGGAGACACATTTAGAGTAACTGCAGTTTTTCACATTTCATCCGCTTAACAGCTCAAATGATTGTTTTCATTTTCACGTCAGTGTCACAAAACACAGAAACGCTCTCACTGCAAACTGCAGCTCAGGTTATACGACACAAAAACAAGAAAACAGAAATCAGGTGTGACCTTCCAGAAACTAGTACTGTACCATTACTTTGTAATGTAAAAATAAAAATAATGATGATGTCATCTGTTATTAACAGACAGCTGGCAGCTATGGAGAGCTGCAGAGGCTGAGAGGGGAAACCACGTTCCACATTTTTGGTCTAAACCAATCAGCTGTGAGATCAGCAGAGAGAAAGGTGCTTTGTGTAATGCCCTGAAGCAGTCAGGTCCTGCAGAACCTGCAGCTGCACAGTGCTCATCTAAAGCGCTGCGCAGCCTCAATGCAGCAAAGAAGCATATTTGAACCCAAACCACAATCTCAGCTGAACCTCTCAGAAAGTCATTTTTGCTTAAACTGAAGGTAAGAAGTGGGTTAAAATCACTTACTCCTCTGCCGTCCCCCAACAGCTCTTCAAAATAAGGACGTCCGGCACTAGAGTTATTAGTTGGTTCAACCCACTCTTCTCCTTCTGTGCTGAGAAACTGCACACATGTGAGGTGGAAAGTAAGGCAGACAACAGCCCCACGAAGCATGGGGCTCATTTCCTCAAACTGAAATATCAGAGAGCGATGCACTAAAACACTCGGCTCAGCTGTGTGGACATCAAACCAGATTTAACTGTTCCAAGTGTTTTCTTGCTTTTTGATGAGTCACTTGGGTTCAGGTTTACTCAGATCATCATTAGTTGCAGGAGCGGCCCTACGTTCAAAGACGCGCTGAGACCGAAGGACGCCCTGCACATGCTTCTGTAGCACTAGCATCGTCTGACAGTATTTCACAGTCGGGGTGTGAATGCACTGACCCCCCTCGATGCCCTGTGGTTACTGTGGTCTGTATGAAACCAGAGCAGGCTGACAGTTACTGTGTAACGGTCACAGCTAACACAACTGAAGTGAGAAACTGCCTAACTGTGCATAGTCTCCAGTATACACGCTTCCTCTGCAGTGGCCTCTCTGACTCTACCTTCAGTATAGAGGGAGCTCAGGAGCCAGAGCTGCTCCTGCACTCATCACAGGGTTGACGGTCCTGAGTGCATAAAGAGAAGCATAAAGTGCTGCACACAGACAGACATTTACCAGATTAGATGAGAAAGTGAAGCTGAGAGCGTTGCAGGGTTTCTGTAGTGCGGCAGAACAGCTGGATACAACAGAACTCTGCATAATACTGAACATGTACTGTGATCCTGCAGCACTCACATCTGACAAATCAGCAGCTTTTCTACATGACAGGTGACACAGTAAGTGCATAAATCTCTACGTGTGCAGTGTCCAACCTTCAGCCCCAAAATCACGGCGCTGGCAACTTTGCTTAGTCCCTCATAATTAATCACCTGTTTTCCTCTCCATCCATCAGTCCCGTCTGACATTTCTCCTGCTGATGTAAATCCAGCTCCTCGCGTCTATTTTTGTCTCGTGTGGCCGTCCACTCGAGCCGGTCTCCACAGTAACCGCATCCACGTAAAAAGCACGCAGATTTTACTTCGAATGACTGCGAAGCTGTGAGAGCTGTGTGGGGGGAGGAGAGGCGCTAAGTGTTCCTCCAGATAAACAGCGTTTCTCATTTAACGCCTCTTTAACCGCTGAATATGTGACGCACCGGCAGCAGGCAAAGCTTTCCGCTGAAATTTTCCACTGCAGGTGGAAACGGTGCAGGTGGAGGAAAACACGTGCAAGTAAGTCGCTTTACTCCTCAGCTGTGAAATGAAAGCTCTCTCACAAAGAGTAAATAACGCAGACACACACAGAGCAGGCTCAGTGTGAGCGCGACTCTGTCACAGCTCAGGTCTTTACAGGTGCGCTGTGGAGTTTCTGCAGCTCCTGTTTGACCTGCACTCACAATTCCCTTTATTCCTGGTGCACAGGTGAATCACAACCTCGTTAAAATCTAGAAAGGCACTGAATACTTTCACTCTTTGTAAAAAAATAAATAAATAAGGCCTTACATGTTATCAAATTCATTCAATCAACCTTTTAAAGCACTAAATGAGTTAGCAGGATGCTCACCTGCAGCACTGTCTGAATAATGTACACTTAGTGTGCCACAGATCTTGTTTTGAACATGCATTTTTTTTTTAATTGACTTGAGACACTGATCATGGATCCAGCTCAACTGTCAAGTTCAGCCATCAATTAACAGAACCTTCAGATAACGTGGTGCCTATATTTTTTAACCCTGCAACCAAAAAAGGGTTTTTTAAAGTATATTTTTGGTGATTTTAGTTTTTATTGTGTTACAACAACAGAGAAAGGACGGGGGGAACCGTGAAGGCCTCTGGACGGATTAAAGCCCGGGCCTCTGCAACAGCCTTAAGCCATATGATCCACCTGCTCAGCCCTGTGAGCTTTACCCACACCGGACACAGTTTGATAATATGGTGAACGTGACTGATTTATATGCAGGAATAAGAGAAACAGGCGTATATATTAGCAGGGATGTGCGACAGCGTCTGACGCTGAATTCCTCAGTACGAGGAACCAGAAAGGCTCCATTTAAAATAAAACATGACGAACAAAACATTTAAGAATATAAATATATTTAAAATGACCTAAAGACCTATTCTAGTCATTTACTGCAATAACATAAATTCAGCTCAGTGCGCCACAGTACTGTTATTTACAGGCACAGTCGGATCGACGCCACAGCCGCCGAACACGAGAGCGAGTGGATAAGCAGAGTAATATGGGATGGCTGAGTGTTGAATAAAAGCACTGCATGAATGTGTGCGTGACTGGGTGAATGAGGCCTGGAGCCTCTGAGTGCTCAACATGAGTAGAAAGCCCCGCCTCACTTACCGATATCGATTTATAGATGGATACTAAAGTTTGACTGTCATTTGTTTTTGCAGGACGCTCTCTGCACGTGTGTCGCTCGTCTTGTTGTTTTCGTCAGAGCTCAAATACAATCAAAGTTTTCTGCTGTGAAACATTTAAAGGCGCCTTTAACCCGTCGTGCATCGTCCACAAGATTCACGGAGTCTCTACATTCGGCACCGTTTGCTCCCTTTTAAATGCTGCAATATGTAACACTGTTAATCATCAGTAAACCTTTTAGTAGGAAGTCAGAGGACTTTTAAAACTGTAAGTGTTTTCCCTCCTCAGAGTCACAGAGTGAAACGTGATTGTTGAGGCAGCCTTTTCTCCTTCCTCTGCTTCCTTCTTGGAGCTTTGTTCTTAATCTGTGCTCCTCACGTTTCTACGAAACATTTCTGCAGTTTCATTGATTGTAACTCTGAAAATGTGATGTGGACACTTTTTTTCTTCGACTGGATCAAATTTTCAAAATAAATTTATTTGAAAAAGAAAAGTCTTAAATATTGTAGAAGTTCCTCTTGAAGTAGAATAACAGGCTGTTTTTTTTTAGAAATCCTGTGAGGAGTCACGGTTAAGAACAAAACTCATGTGAAGCATCGGACCTACAAAGACCACTGAACTAGTTTAAGGCTTTGAAATTACGACTGAACCCTTGACTGATCCATTAGTACTCAGAGTATTACAGCCGCTGTCAGGGGGAATAAAAACTGAGATTTTGAACTGGCCGAGTTTCAGGTGAACTGTCCTTAAGTCTCATCAGCTCCGTCATTTTGTAATCAAGCTTCTGTGATTTGCTTCTTTCCACCAGATATTTACTGAGGCCTACTCTTTCATTACATTAACATCACTCTTTTTCAGAACAATGTTTTTGGTTTTATTACTGAAACCAAACTCGTGTGAACAGCTGCAGTTCCTCTAACGGCCACTTGAGGCTGCCTCCAATCCCACATTAAAATGCCCAACGTCACAACATTAAAAAGCAGGTTTTATAGGTGAAACTTTTTTCCCTTTAATAACTTTTTTTTTATTAGAAATAAAACTAAAATTACTCAAAACATTCAGATTTTATTTTGAAAATCTCGGCTTTGTTTCCCCTGCAGTGGCTCTAACACTCGACCCGTACCGTACTGATTGCCCTCTGCAGCGTGCGCGCTCTTTAGCCCTCACCCTCGCCATCCTGCAGGTTGTGTTTAACCAGAAATTCTTTGATGGTTGGATGATTGTCTAGCCCCACCCACCGCTCCTCCAGATGCTGCAGAAGCTCCTCCCACTGTCGCTTGTCTTTTCCCGTCTGCCACGACAGCCGAACCATCACTCGTAACAGCGGCAACAGCAAGGGGTGTGGCCTGTCGTCGTCCAGACGCGATGTCTCCGACGGTTGGAAGGGCTTATTGTCAGGTGGGAGGGGCTTATCCTCTGTGTTAGTCTGAGTTTCTGTGGGGGTGAGAACACGCAGGGCGTGGTCACAGTGATCTCGAGCCTCCTCCAGCTGGTCCACCTGCTGGAAACAGCTCGACAGTCCCACCAGGGTGAAGAACCAATGGGAGGAGGTTGGAGGAGGGGCCTGAGTCTGGTTGTCATAGTAACTTGCCCATCCCAGTTTCTGCTGCAGTCTCTTGGCATTGAGCAGAGGACCCAAGGCATCCTGGTAACGTCCCGCCCTCAACGAAACAAGACAAACTGAACAGTGAAACACTCACAGTGGCAAACCGCTCAATAAATAATGAAACTCAAGAAATGCACAAGAAAATCTAATATTATCCTTACAGCACATTTAGAAATAAGCATCAAGCTAAGGAGATGTTGAGGTGCGCTGTTCTGTCCTGGACTAACAGAGTTCTGCTTAAAGCAGGATGGGCTACCTACGGCCTGCGGGCCACATCCTGGTCTTTTTAATCTGGCCTGCCGAAGATTAGCACAGAATTGCCCAAATCAGATGATAATTATGACTGCATTCATTTGACCTTGTCCTGTAATGCCTGGCGTTCCACCAGATGGCGCATTAGGCGCAGTGATTTGTGGTCTCATGCTCAGAAAAGAAAAGAAACATCGAGTGTGAGTGTTTATACTTTTTCACCCCAGTCAAAGGATGTATGTCTAGATGTGAATACAACATCAGCTGTCACATTTCCACCAAGCATGTTAGTAATGCTAACAACCGGTCAATGCAAGAACGGGGTCGGCAGCTAGTTTGCAGAATCAGCAAAACATTTTTAGCCGACAAAGTGCCATCCAAGAATCAAGCACAAAGTTGTTTGCTGGCATTCAAATTAGCAAATACCAGCAAGGGCAGTTTCTCAAACAGTGCGTCCAGGGATGTTGAACAAATTAGAAAAAAAATTAGCTTATCACGCAGGACAGTGACTCACTGTGTTGAGCTAGCTGATGAAGACTTAGCTAGTGAGCTAAACCAAAAAGCAGAGTTGTATTCTTTGGCACTGGACGAAAGTAGAGACACCGCTCAGCTTTGAATTTTAAACAATGGGAATAATGACTAGAAATGAGAATTTCTAGGAGTAGCCAAGTTGGCGGAAGGCTTTCACTTCGTTGGTCTCAGGATCTCATCTCTGCTTTTTGCAGATGATGTGGTCCTGTTGGCTTCATCAGGTGAGGGCCTCCAGCTTGCCTTGGAAAGGTTCACAGCCAAGTGTGAAGCAGTGGGAATGAGAATCAGCACCTCCAAACCTGAGGCCATGGTTCTCAGCCAGAAAAAAGGGTGGAGTGCCCACTCCGGGTCTGGGACGTGACCCTGCCCCAAGTGGAGGAATTTAAGTATCTCGGGTCTTGTTCACGAGTGATGGGAGAAGGGAGCGGGAGATCGACAGACGGATTGGGGCTGCAGCTGGAGTGATGCGGACGCTGCACCGGTCCGTCGTGGTGAAGAGGGAGCTGAGTGTAAAAGCGAAGCTCTCAATTTACCGGTCGATCTACGTCCCTACCCTCACCTATCGTCACGCGCTGTGGGTAGTGACCGAAAGAATGAGGTCGCGGATACAAGTGGTGGAAATGGGTTTCCTCCGAAGGGTGGCTGGCCTCTCCCTTAGAGATGGGGTGAGAAGTTCGGCCATCCGGGACGGGCTCAGAGTAGAGCCGCTGCTGCTCCAAGTCGAAAGGAGCCAGCTGAGGTGGTTCGGGCATCTGACAAGGATGGGCACCTCCTGGGCACCTCCTGAGCGAGGTGTTCCGGGCATGTCCCACCGGGAGGAGGCCCCGGGGCAGACCCAGGACACGCTGGAAAGATTATCTCTCTTGGCTGGCCTGGGAACGCCTTGGTGTTCCCCCGGATAAGCTGGAGGAGGCGGCTTGGGAGAGGGAGGTCTGGGCTTCTCTGCTGCCCCCGCGACCCGGGCCCGGATAACCGCAAGAAATTGGATGTATAGAATGGATGGGAATAATGACAATTTTGGGATAACGGAGGAGTTTTTGGCCTTCCTAAAGGGGAAAATTGGTGGAGAGGACCTGTACGACAGCGTGTTGGGGTCATCGAGAGGCACAAGCTACGTGGGAGTCTGACTTGTCACTGTAAGGCCTTTTTAGGCTTCTGTTTGATATGTACAGTATGCATCTGGTGCTGGCCTGTCAAATTTTCAAACGTAATGTGACCTCTTACCTGAAACGTTTGCCCACCCCTGCCTTAAGGCATACGCTAAATTTGTTCTGTATATCATTTATAGTTGTTTCTATGGTTACAGAGTTGAAAAAAAGCCAAACCTATAAACAAAAGCTGAAACTCCCTGAGGAAACACTCGTCACCAAAGCATTATGCATGTACTGTATATAAAAGAAGGACAGACTGGGAAGTCTCACAGTCTGGCTCTCTTCCACAGTTACTCTATTGTCTTGTGTCTTTCCCCTCATTCCCAACCAGTCACAGCAGACGGCTGCCCCTTCTGGTTCTTCCTCTTTAAAGGGAGTTTTTCCTTCCCACTGTCACCAAGTCCTTGCTTATAGTGAGTCATCTGAATGCTGGGGTTTTCTCATTATATTTCTTTGTTGATGTGAGTGTTGTTATGATTTGGCGCTATATAAATACAATTAAATAAACCTGAATAAAACTGGATCCACATTGTTTTTAAATGGCCAGCAGGGACTGAGTCTTTTAGTTGCAAAATCTTGATATTTTCACTTGATAGTTGACGTCAGTAAACACTTTCCTGATGAATTTGTGGACTCAATTGGTTGTTTGAAGTCTAATTAAAGGAAAAGGTGCTTATTTTGTAAACCACAGTCAACCATTAGAATCAAAAAGGATATTGAAGCAATGTTTGTTTCAGTGCAGCAAAGTAGTTATTGTATGAGTGTGTACTCAGTAGGGATGGCAATCGAGAACCTTTCCTAGTTGGAATTATTAGTCTACTTGCCTATCGATCCTGCTTATTGGTTCTTACATTTGCTCTGCAATCAGCTGATTTCAGTTGCTGGAGAAGGAAAATAGAAGTTTACAGTGTTGAGATGGACACAACTTTTATTTCTATTGCACAAAAGGGCAAGAGCGTAATGGTAAACTGTATCCAGGACAGAAACAACTGTATTATGCTGCTAACACAACTTCGACTCTTTGCAAGCACCTGCACAGACAGCATGCTAATGCTAAGCTAGTCAAAAACCCAGAGTGATGCAAGGCACCACGGTGAAGCGAGCCGCCGCTGAACTTCATCGTATAACAAACGGATGAGCCGTCAGGCTGCAGCCTTCGTTTCTACCTGAATCACCGTGACGACGGCTTTAAAGTCTCTTCGTGTTGGTTTTCATCTTCATTTTGTGTTGTCGGCTTTTTGTTCATAACTAAATACATTAGGAGTTTGTGTTGGTGCGGGGGGCTGTAGCCTCAGGTTTATACTGTTAAATGGTAATTATGACACAATGTGTTTCAGGCTGTTTTACAGAGTAAACTGAAAGTAATGTTATAAATGTGATGAATTATCATCTCCCTTTAGTAACCAAGTAACGTACTGCATTACTTTAAATTAAAGTGTTATTTGTAGGGATGGGTACTGGTATCCGGTGCCATGATGGCACCTGTTCTGACATAAACGGTAGTAACCATCCGATATCCGGATGTCACACACTTTGGATTCCAGCCAATCATTTTACCTTTGCGAGTGTAGTAGGCGGGTCCAGGTACGTACGTCCTTTTAGAGCAGAGCTACAGATTAAAAATGTCCAAGGCGAAGCGGTCAAAGTCTGGCTGTACTTCACAGCAAAAGATGCAAACTCAGCAGCAACAAGTGCTTTAAGCTGATACTGTGATACTGTCAAAGGAGGTAACACCTCGAATCCGATGAAACACCTGGCGACGCATAGCGTTTTGTTAAAAGCCAAGAAATGCACCGTATTTGATAGCTTGCTGCGAGACCTCACACCGAGCACATCTACTGCGGGTGTGGTGCCTGTTATCGGACCCGGAGTTAGCAACATCCCCCAAAAACCCGAAGAGGAGAGTCCTGGCCCCTAGCCCTGCCAGTGTAGCAGAAATGATGAGGATGATGATGCAGCAGCAGCCGTTCTTCTCTGCGTGAGTAGCTTAATGTTGTTCGTGTGTAATTTACGTTGAGTAGGCTAACCACGTTATTACATTAATGCATGTAAGGTGAACTAGCAAACACCGTCGTAGTTACATGCGGCTGTCTTCTTGTTTGATGGCAGATACTCCCTTCACCCTGGACAAAAAGGCTAAAATGACCAAAGAAAAAGTGGAAAACAGCTGAACATGAGAGGTTTTTGGAAAAGTTTGTGTTTTTTCCATTGTTTAAGCACTGCTTCCAGCCAAGAGTGATGCCATATATGCCCCATAGCTGCAGAAAAGGCTAACATTGTTATCTTTTTACAAAAAACAGCTGAACATGAGAGGTTTTTGGACAAAGTTTGTGTTTTTTCCATTCTTTAAGCACCGGCACCGTTTCAAAAATACCGGTTTGGTACTGGTATCGGATAAAACCTAACCGATACCCATCCCTAGTTATTTTTAATATGTGTAATATATTACTTTTTTGACTAGTGACCCAACACTGATCAACAAAGAGTGCATGTTGGACACATTTCCTCTAATATTTGACCACACAGCGTAATTAATTTGCGCAAACACTGTAGCTAGCTTCAGAGCACAAATTGGCGATGACTCAATTGTTTAACTCAAAGTTTTATTAATCTATTAAATACCTTCTTTGTTTTTTAGCCTGTTTCACTATCTGCGTAATAGAAACAGTATAACATTTCAGCACTGCGAGCATTTTGATCATTTCACTTTGTTCCTGTTAAGTTTTCTTACGCGACACTGACATTGACGGATAAAGGTGAGGAGACAGAGGTTTATGAGAGTTACCTGATGAGCAGCTGTCCAGTCTCCAAGTCGGTTAAGTAGAAGAACTGACGGACACACAGCGCCCCCCGCAGGGCATGCAGGGAACACAGGTGAGACAGGTACTGTTCAAACGCCCGGCTCCGCTTAGCGATCGTCTCTGCTGTGAAGTTCCTCCTGAGTTTTCTTCCTGCGGAGGTTCAAACCAAACGTTCATGTTTTATGAAGTTCTTACTTCCCTGTACCACTGTAACAACCACAGCATCAAGGTAAGACAGCATACATGAGGTTTACTCACGTGGGAAACAGAAACGCTCCATGTGCTCGCCGTGTTTACGGCGAAGAGTGGCATGGAGGCGCCGAAAGTCAGAGTACCGACGCGTGATGATGGCAGGAATCTTATCGCTCGCGCCAGACTGGATCACATGGATCGTGTACAGCTGGAGAGAAACGGAGAGCAGAGAGTTTGAGCTCCACGGCGCACAGATCTGTCCCACGGCACATTTAAAACGTCACCTGTGGACAGAGACTATTACGTATACGTGACTCTGATCAGAGCATCCAAATCCAATCTATGGATGTGCACCAGCACTTTACACAGAGAAGATACAAGGGTCAGGGGCTCTCTGTGGCCCTGAAGCTCAAATTGCTCTGTAGGCATCTTCGTATTTCAGCAGCCTGAAGAAGGGACAAGCTGATACCTGTCGGTGTATTTGTTTGTCCTAAGACCAATAAATTAAAAGCCTTTGTCAAATCTAGAGTGCCTGGATTTGAAGCTTTTATGTCTGTTTTGGTTATTGTGTTACAGTTTTTTTCTCTTTGCCAACTCACCACATATTTTGAGGAGCCGTCCTGCACCACGCTGGCGTCGGTCACCTCAAACAACACGCTGTCCGTCTGCCATCTCACAGAGGACACAGAGCTTCCTCCACTGAGTCCGCGCAAACCCCTCCAGCTCTCCTGAAGCTGCCGAGTCAGCAGGGAGGAGGAGGAAGAGGAGGAGTGGCCCACTGGGGAAATACCCACAGGACTGGTGTCTACAAAAGACAGGTGAAAGCCAGGTCAGGTGACCAGGGAGTACAACATGTCCTGGTTTCCTCGAGTGTAGTTCAGCTCCAGTGGACTGAAGCTAAACTGCCCCCTGCTGGAGATCAACGCTGCTGAGCTGTAACCATGGAGCTGGCTAACATATTACATTAGATTATAGTTTCTGTTAATTGGTTTCAGCTATAAAAACATCTCTAAAGCATTAGTACAACTATGAACAACATCCCCGTATGTATTAACTGCAGGCTGCTAGGTTGTGAGTTGTTGTGTGCTCCATCGCTGGGTAAACTTTTGTTACTTTCTATCGATAGCTGATAAATAAACTCTGCCCAGTCTGACTTTGCTGCTGATCATTAATCAATGTCTGCTAAGTCTTTGAACCAAACAACAGTATTGGTAATTGGTAAATGGCCTGTATTTGTATAGCGCTTTACATATCCAGTCATCCACACATTCACACACTGGTGATGGCAGCTACATTGTAGCCACAGCCACCCTGGGGCGCACTGACAGAGGCGAGGCTGCCGGACACTGGCGCCACCGGGCCCTCTGACCACCACCAGTAGGCAACGGGTGAAGTGTCTTGCACAAGGACACAACGACCGAGAGGGGCTCGAACTGGCAACCTTCCGATTACAAGACGAACTCCCAACGATCGCCCCGTATTGAAGAATACTCATTCGGGTCATTCTTGTATGTAGGAATTTCAACAGATGTTGAATCAGTGCTGATCTGCACTGATTTCAATCAGATTCAGACATTAAAATGTTTTCGCTCGAGGTCCATCGAGTGAAAAGAGAGAACAGCACTTCACCCATGCTGCTGGGACCATCCTCCATCGACTCTCCCAGGAAGTCAGAGTCGCTGTCCTGTCCTGACCCTTCACCCTCGGCTCCGTCCTCCAGACCGCCGTCTGTGCCGTCGAAGCACAGCATCCCTCCGAGCCGATCGGTTACACACTCCTCATCCTCCGCCAGCTCGTCCTCCCAGTGATCCTGCTTGAACGCCTCCTCTTCCGGCCCGCCACCTTCTTCCTGCTCAGGTTCCAGCCCCTGACCATCTTTAAACAGCGAGCGCTTCAGGCGGTCCAACAGCCGAGACGCCATGATGTTGCCAGGCCACCACAGGGGGAGGAGCCTAAAGAAATAGAAGATTACAAGGTCATTTTATCTATTACTTATTAAAGCATCTTCTGATAATATTATTTTAAAGCTTCATTTGTTTTTTCATTCTAGTTTTGCACAGGTTTTTATTGCATGTAATTTGTATACATTTGCATGAACTATCTACATACATGTATATGTAGCATTGATAACGAAGCTGTACTTAGAAACACACTCACCTGCCACGTCATTAGGTAGGCCTGTTCAATGCCAACAAACCGATTTCAGTAAGCAGTAGAGATGGCACGATACCACTTTTTTATGTCCGATACCGATATGAATCTGATAGTGTGTTTTAATCAATAAAACTGTTTTTTAATATCTTGCTGCATTTTGTATGAGTTCATACTCAAGTTTAAATAAACAACAACACTAAAGCTTTCTGTTAAACCCGTATGTAAAAAAAAATACACTGCACCCAATATATTTCATAATTCAGCAACACTGATCAATCTAATAAACTTAAACCTGCTCCATCCTCCCTATTCTGGTATTTTAAAGAGTACTTAGCAGAAATATTAAGCAACCTAACTAGTAGGGTTGCAAACTCCCAGCAAAAAAATAAGGGAACCACCCTCCACCTCATGATGCTTAATCGACGTAATCAAC